ACAGGGAGCGCGAGAGAGAGACAGCGCACGAGAAGGGATGCCTCTGGCTCTCCCTCTTTGTCTCCAGTAGAGGCATCCCTTCTCATTTTCTCTCTGGATCAGTGGCATCACCTCTTGCTGTGTATCTAGACCAGAGGTGATTCCTGTGGTCAAGAGAGAGAGCAGAAGAGCCAGGAGCGAGAGAGAGAAAAAGGCAGGAGATGGTGGGGGCATTTAGTCCAGAGTGCAAAAGGGGATGTCTCTGCTCTAGAGAGTGAGAGGGGCTGCCTCTAGTCTACAGAAGGATAGTGAGAGAGAATGACTGTCCTCTCTCTTTGTCTGGAGAACAAGAAGCAATGCTTCTGGTCCACAGAGAGATGGAGAGAGAGTTAATGTCTCTGGTGCAGGGTGAGAGAGCATGTGAGTTGGAACATTTCTGTTCCAGAGAAAATGGAAGAGAGAGGCAGGAAGACACTGGTCTAGGCAGAGAGGGTGAGAGAAAGTGGATCCCTCTGATCCAGAGAGTGAGAAAGGGGGGCGGGGTTGTGGGGAATCCATTTGGTCCAGAGAGAGTGCGCGGAAGGGGAGGATACAGGAGCACAGGAGAGAGACAGGATGCCTCTGGTCCAGGCAGGGAGGGTGAGGGAGAGGATCCCTCTGGTCCAAAGAGATTAGGTGCTCTCTGTTCTAGAGAGAGAGAGACAGACAGACAGAGAAAGGATTCCTAATATCCAAAGGGAGCGCGAGAATGGATGCCTTTGATCCAGAGAGAATACGTGGAAGGGGATGCTCTTGAAACCCAGAGAGAGATAGAGAGGCAGGAGGCCTCTGATCCAGGCAAGGGGGCTGGGTGGAGATGGAGGGGAGAGAAAAGATCCTTCTGGTCCAGAGAGGGAGAAAGCACGCCAGGGGCTCTCTGATAGAGAGAGAGTGAGAGTGGCAGGACACCACTCATCCAGGGAGAGGCAGGAAGTGATTGAGGTGTCTGGTCCAGAGAGAGACAGAGTGAGAGTGGATGCTTCTGGTCCAGAGAGAAGGAGCAGAGAAGCAGGAGGCCTCTGATCTAGAGAGGGAGACGGGCAGGAGGGGGTGCTTCATGTCTAGACTCTTGTCCAGACAGACAGAGAGAGAGAGAGAGAAAACGAGAGGGGACTGGGATGCGGAGCCTTTGCATAGCTAAGGTTCTTATTGTCGGCAAAGTTTATTTGGAATGAGGAATGACATTGGAGTTAAGAGCAATTACTGATGCCCAGGAAATGGAGAGAAATTTAACAAGAACTGAAAATTGCTCATGTGCCAATTGCACTAAGCAGGATGGTATGAAAGTAGAAATTTAAGAATCTCTATTCAATCACATAGCTTGTGACAGCAGACCTACAGCTTTAATGCTGTTTGTTTAAACTTCACAGTTTAAGCATAAGTAGTGTTGGACTGCTATCAGTGAGTTGGAATGTAGTAATCCAGTAGAGAGTTTAGCTGACACTTACTGTGCATTGAACATAGAACATAGAACATAGAACATTACAGCGCAGTACAGGCCCTTCGGCCCTCGATGTTGCGCCGACCTGTGAAACCAATCTGAAGCCCATCTAACCTAAACTATTCCATTATCATCCATATGTTTATCCAATGACCATTTAAATGCCCTTAAAGTGGGCGAGTCTACTATTTTTGCAGGCAGGGCATTCCACGCCCTTACTACTCTCTGAGTAAAGAACATACCTCTGACGTCTGTCCTATATCTATCACCCCTCAATTTAAAGCTATGTCCCCTCGTGCTAGCCATCACCATCCGAGGAAAAAGGCTCCCACTGTCCACCCTATCTAATCCTCTGATCATCTTGTATGTCTCTAT